GGCACGGAGCAGGGCGGGGTGGGGGGGGGGGGGGGGGAACCGTACCAGTGAGGAGGACGGGGCCGGGGCTGGCCCGACGGGGCCGGGCGGGCGCGACGGGGCCGGGCTGATGCGACAGGGCCGGGACAGGGCGACGGGGCCGAGCGGGCGCGACGGGGCCGGGCTGGGGCGACGGGGCCGGGCGAGTGCGGCAGGGCCGGCCCGGTGCGACGGGGCCGGGCGAGCGGGACGGCGGCCGGGCTGGTGCGACGGGGCCGGGCGGCTGTGACGAGGCCGGGCAGGGTGCGACGGGGCCGGGCGGGTGCGACGGAGCCGGGCGGCTGCGACGGGGCCGGGCGAGCGCGACGGGCCGGGCAGGGTGCGACGGCGCCGGGCGGGCGCGACGGGGCCGGGCGGCAGCGACGGCGCCGGGCGGGCGCGACGGGGCCGGGCGGCGGCGACGGGTACGACGCGGCCCAGGAGGGGCGCTACGGGGCCCAGGAGGGGCACGACGGGGGGGCCCAGGAGAGGCGCAACGAGGCCCAGGAGGGGCGCTACGGGGCCTGGGAGGGGCGCGACGGGGCCTGGGAGGGGCGCGACGGGGCCCAGGAGGGGCGCTACAGGGCCCAAGGAGGGCGCGACGGGGCCCAGGAGGGGCGCTACGGGGCCCAGGAGGGGCGCAACGAGGCCTGGGAGGAGCGCGACGGGGCCCAGGAGGGGCGCTAGGGGGCCTGGGAGGAGCGCGACGGGGCCTGGGAGGGGCGCGACGGGGCCTGGGAGGGCGTTACAGGGCCCAGGAGGGGCGCTACGAAGCCCAGGAGGGGCGCGACGAGGCCCAGGAGGGGCGCTACGGGGCCCATGAGGGGCGCGACGGGGCGCTACGGGGCCTGGGAGGAGCGCGATGGGGCCCAGGAGGGGCGCTAGAGGGCCTGGGAGGGGCGCGACGGGGCCTGGGAGGAGCGCGATGGGGCCTGGGAGGAGCGCGACGGGGCCTGGGAGGGCGTTACAGGGCCCAGGAGGGGCGCGACGGAGCCCAGGAGGGGCGCGACGAGGCCTGGGAGGAGCGCGACGGGGCCCAGGAGGGGCGCTAGGGGGCCTGGGAGGAGCGCGACGGGGCCCAGGAGGGGCGCTAGAGGGCCTAGGAGGGGCGCGACGGGGCCTGGGAGGAGCGCGATGGGGCCTGGGAGGAGCGCGACGGGGCCCAGGAGGGGCGCTAGGGGGCATGAGCGGAAGCGGTAGGTGGGGGGGGGATCCTACCTACGCGTGATACCATATCAGAAAATTGAATGATGGTGATAGGGGGAGAGTACACACAATATAGCTAAGTGTTGTACCCTCTAAGAGGCTACCCTATACAGTCTATACAAACATAACAAATAGACATGTTTGACAATTTCGTCAATTCGTTGATAGAGTTCGCTGACTTTCGTGGGACACGGACGCGTGCTCTCGCATGTGACTCGAACGACCTCGCATTTGACGAACGGGTCCTTCATATTCATCGACCATCGCGTTATTCGCCTGTCATCATTTCAAGAAATTCAGCCGCCAGGCACCATCATCAATCGACCATTCGGCGGTTTCACTGGTCATTATCTTTCCGCTGGAGTATTTACCCTTGCCCGTTTAGTCACCAGAAGAATTCGACCATCTTCGATGCTTTCTGACCATCGATTTCAGTTCCACCTCAAGACCTCGTCAGGCCGGCGTAATCATTACGCTCGTCACAGGGTTGAAGACTTACAGTCACTTCGGGGATTAATTTAGATAAAAGGTTCGACCTCGATAAAGGGAGGGCTTTCCTTTAGAAGGGGGGAGAGTGTAAGGAATTCCGATTCCTTACAGGTACTCGCCACAGCGAGTACAGCGAACAGTGCGGGTCTGCAGGCTCGGCCCTGGTTTATCGCGCCAAACCAGCCCTTGACGTCCTTTTCGGCCCCAACCTGACCCTGACTCGCCCCGAACCCGTTTTGACCCCGTCACCCTCGGGACTACCTAGCCCTTGACTGGTCCAACCCTTGACATTTTGACCTGGTCAACTCACACTATATAAGCCCTAGGTCTCATTATTCAGGAGGATTCTGTAATCACGTTCCCTTATAGTATTCTGCGCTATACTCTGAGTTATAATTCATAACAAACTCAACCTCGAGAAGTTGCGCCAATAACGAGAAATCGCGTCACCGCATTCCATCGGCTGGCATTCGCCCACGCTTTCGCAGCAAGCACCACTCGCTGCGTGCGAAGATCGGACCACACGTGGCGAAATCAGCCACGATGAATGTGGCGCGGCGCCCGGAGCACTGGTGCTGAATTCGCGCCTCTTGTGTGCAGAGTTGAAAGAGAAGCTCCCCTCCCCTTTCCCACCTACATAACCCGCACCATCTCCCGATGGCCTAGACTCAGCCTGCTCTGACAAACTAGCATAATTTGGGTCTGCTCTTTCTGCGCATGAGTTTCCCGCTGCCTTGAGCACTCTCTATCCCAGCCATTCCTCCTCTTCACACCTGGTTCTCTCAGCAGGAGGGTCGGTCATTCGAATTCGAATGTCCCCCTCGCTCGTCTCCAGGTCCTTTCCCCGCCATTCTCTCCCCCGCCTTCGCGCACACCGGATTTCTCCAATTCACCTCCGACTCGCCGCGTCTATTTACCCTGCTACCTCCCAGAGAGAATTCGGTTTCATCACGCCGCGTTGTGTCACACCCGCTACTGGCCCTACGACGCCTGCCAGGGCTTCCCTAAACCTTCATCCTCACCTTCCACGTCATACCGCTGAGCTACCCTCAGCGCGTGCACCTCTCCAACGACCGACACGTGGCACGCTGCCATTCGCCTCGGCAACCTCAATGGAGACAGCCCCTACTAGTAAGCTCGATGCTCCTTACTCCGCACCGGCCTTGGCAGCACGAATCGCGGTGGTAGGCGCGGGAATCTCGGGGCTCGTCGCCGCGTCGATCCTTGCGGAGCGCGGCGCACACGTGGCGGTCTTTGATTTGGGGAGGGGTCCTGGCGGCCGCATGTCGCAGCGCAGGGAGAAAATCACTGTTTCGCCACTTGCCGATGCTTCCGAGGCAGCCGACCTGCCGAGCCTAGAGGTCAGATTCGATCACGGCGCGCAGTGCTTCACTGTCAGCGACCCGAACGTGCTGTCGTTCCTGGAGCGGCGGTTCGGGGGAACGGGAGCGCTTGCGGAATGGAAGGGGCGGTTCGGAGGGTGGGACGCGGAGAAGGGGGAGTTTATACCAGAGGCGGGGGAGGACGCGGGGACAGCACCAGGGGAAGGAAGAGCGCAAGGAGATCAAGGAGGTGGAGAATTAGGGTTTAAGAGGCGGTGGGTGGGAGTGCCTGGGATGAACGCCCTCTGCCAGGCGCTGCTTCTCCCGCCACCCGCGGCTTCCGCCTCCTCCAATGACACCGAGATGATCAACGCTAGATTCGGCGTCCAGGTGGCACGTGCAGATTGGCTAGAGCGCACGGACCCTGCTGGAATTTCTGAGTCAACTGAGGGCACCTCCCTCCGTCCCTCCTGGGAGCTTTTCTCGTCTTCCGGGGAATCCTTGGGACTTTTCCATGGCCTGGTTATTGCAGCAGCTTACCGAACCATGCCTGTCCTCCTGCCAGACCTGCCGAGACTAGCACAGGTTCGGCAGGGCCTGGCGGAGGTCCGGGCATCGCCCAGGTTCGCGATGATGCTGGCGTTCGCCGAGCCTCTTGGCCACGTGGCGTTTGATGGCGTGGATGTGGTGGGGAATGACGTGGTGGGGTGGATAGGCAGGGACAGCAGCAAGCCAGGCAGGGCGAGGAAAGTGGGAGAGTCGGATACAGGGGTCCAGAGCAGAGGAGAAGAAGTTTTGTGTAAGGAAGAGAGCAGAGAAGAGGGACTGTCTCCTGAGTGCTGGGTGGTTCACTCCACTGCAGCCTACGCCTCCTCCCTCCTCGCCTCTGCTCCCCCCGGCCGCCCCTCCCCTGACCTCTTAGCCCGTGTGGCAGCTGACATGTGGGGCGCTGTGAAGCCTATTCTGGCCAGGCGCGGTGGGAGGGGGGATGGTGAGAGTGTGGGGAGAGGGGGAAATGCAGGAGGGATGGGAGGGGAGGAGGGGGAAGAGAGTGTAGAGCCGATTCTGAAGAAGGTGCACCGGTGGGGAGGGGCGTTTCCTGTGGCGGGGGTGGCGGCAGGGGGGGCTAAGAGCCTGTGGAGCGAGGAGGGCAGGGTGGCGGCGTGTGGGGACTACTGTGTGGGGGGCCCAGCAGGAGGGTTGGTGGAGGGGGCTGTGGCTAGCGGTATGGAGGCAGGGCAAAAGCTGGCAGATGCTCTTAGACTGGGAAGAAGTGCGCTGTGAGGGCGAAGTATATGCAGGGGCAAGCACATGTGTGAGAGGCTGGCCAGGAGCTGTCGAGAGGGATGATGCAAGAGCAGGGACATGGCATGTGAACAAAAACGTTGTGGGACGGCGGAGATTGCCGAGTACCTGCCAGGAAGGCGGGGAGAGAGAGATGGTTGGATGCGTCTGGACGAAAAGGTTGGCCTTGAATGGCATGCTACCATATTTCATTTTGGGTTCTTATTGCTGGTCTGAGGAGGTTTCCTTTGGCAACAATGTCTGTATTGTACTGGCCCTTGAACAGTGATAGCTTACACTGTCAGATGATGGCAACAACACTCATATGATACCTATCTCCCTCTCCTCTAACGCCAATAGATGTAACATACTGATCATATTGTTAGCAATAAGATTACGAGAAGCTTCAGTCCTATTTTCACCAGCATGCACATTTCATATAGTGGATACTGTAGAATGCGGATTGGATTAGGGATATTGCGGAATTAAAATTCTATAGAGTAATAAGATAAGTTTGAAGAGGGTCATCCATGGAGAAGAAAATCATATGCTGCAGGAAAATGTTGTGCTACACCCAGCAAATTTGATACAATAATGCTTCCGTGAGAAGCCAAAATTGTTGCGCTACGCAGAGCACTACTAATGACACAACCACGCTTTCGTGAGAAGCCCAGATTATGCCGAAGCTGGGCGGCGAATAGATGACTGCGGGATGATAGCGCGGTTCCGCACTGCTTAGGGTCATGTGGTCTTGCTTCCGCGCTGCTTCGCGCTCCGCTGCCAGATTTCCCGAGACGCGCAGTCGAGTACTCAGTCAATCGATCATCGCCAGATCCACTCCGCGAGACTGCCACGTGTTCGTGCAGCCGCTGATCGCGTGTAAGTCGCATTCAGCGTTCGCGTGGCGATCAGGCGAAGCCAACAGACAGTTAGTTCGCCGGTGGCTTCGCCAGCCGAGCAGCCTCGGTCCGAATGATTTGGCTCGGCATCCGGTTCAGAATCCGGTTCGGAGTCTGGTTCGGCAGGCCGAACCTCTCAGCGTTTACTGTAGGACCCCTCCGCCTGTCTCCGATCCGTTAGCGTCCGCTCGAAGCGTCCTCTCGTGCCGAAGTCACGCTGCAGATTGCCGGTCCGTGCCATTAAGAGGTCGCTGCTACGCCAGCTGCAGCAGCAGCAGCAGCAGCAACGGCAGCAGCAGCAGCAGCAGCAGCAGCAACGGCAGCAGCAGCAGCAGCAGCAACGGCAGCAGCAGCAGCAGCAACCGTAACAGCGTCGAAGGACATGGACCGAGGGTTCCTGTCAATGATGTCCCAAGAGACGTTAGGACACTTGGCAGCTCGAGACACACCGGCATGCGGAATTCACAGTGGATCAATCAGGCTCACCCGGGACAGGGTTACCCGGGACACGGTTACCCGATGCAGCGGGATCGGCTATTTGAGGAGAGGCAGGCCAAGGATCGGATTCGCGGACTGCTGTGGCGAATGCGCGAAGCAGCAGAGTCGGGTAACCACGAGCTGCTCTTGTCGCTTGCTGGCCCGCCACTGAGCGTGAGCGAGAGGCGGATGAGGGAGATCAGTGAGAGAAGCAACATTGGAGTCAGCAGCGGTGAGACGAGCGAAAAGGAGAGCAGATCTAGTCAACCTTGCAGCGGGATAGATGCCGGCGATAGCAGCAGCAGCAGCAGCAGCATCAGCAGCAGCAGCAGCAGCAGTATGAGCAGCATGGAGAGCACGAGGGGCAGCGTGCGCAGCAGCAGTGAGAATGAGAGGGAGCAGTCAACAGTGATAGAGGCTGTGGGCCTTTCGCCTGCAACACCTGAAGCTACGTCACCTGAAGCAATACCTGACGTTTCGCCTGAGAGCGCAATTTCTTCCTCGCCATTAGAGACAGTGGCTGTACACGTGTCACCTGACAGCGCCACCACGCGGCCCCCCTATTTGTTGCCCTCGAGGAACGTCCGCGCAGTGCTGCAAGCCCTGCGCCGGCAGCACGCTCCAATGGTGGCTGTCCACGTGTACTGGAGGCTGCGGACAGCTGGACGGCTGTCGCCTCTCTGTGATGACGTGGCGATTGCTGCATGCTGCGGGGCGGAGGCAGAGTATAGACTGGCGGAGTATGAGAGGGAGGAGAGCAGGCAGGGGAGAGGGTGGGGCGGGGGAGGGGGAGGGGAGAGGAGTGGAGTGGAGGAGGTGGGATTATTGGGGCGAACAGAAGGAGATCTGGAGGTGATGGATATGGACGAAGGGGAGGAGGAGGCAGAGGAGGAAGGAGAAGAAGGAAAAGGAGGTGGAGGGGTGGAAAATGTGGCGGGGGACGAGAGGGGGCAGGAGGAACGGAAGGCGGGTGAGCAAGTCGTGATCCAGGATGCATTGACTGGGACGCAAACTGGCAGCAGCAGCAGCAGCAGCAGCAGCAGCAGCAGCAGCAGCAGCAGCAGCAGCACAGTGACTGGCAGTTCAGTTGAGGGGGAGAACGGGGGGCTGCAGCAGGGCGGCAGCAGGAAACACGGCAGGAGGCATGGCAAGCGCAAGCACCCTCCATGGGTGTTCACCAGCCCCACTGTGCAGGCAGCTCTGGGCTGCCAGGCGCCTGCTGACGCCCTGCAGATGATCACTCCAGTGTGGGGGGTGGCTGGGGAGGGATTGATGGGCGAGGACCAGCTGGGCAGCAGCTCCCGTGCCTCCCTTCAAGCACACCAGTCCCACGCATCCCCACACCCGGGATCATCCCAGGCCTCTCTACTTGGCATGGAAGCCCGTTTCCCGGTGCTATCTGCGCTGATTAGGTTCGAGGAGAGGTTCGGCATTGGCTCGAGCGCGTGGGAGGAGGTTCGGGAGCGGGGGCTGTGGGAGAAGGCAGCCATGGAGATTCTCGCCGAGGCTCGGATCGAGGCTCGTTCCGAGGCTCGGGCCGAGGCCCGGAAGTTTGGAGGGGCAATGGATCGGCCGTACCACTTTGTGCTGATGGCTCTGGCGCTGAGGGGGTGGGGTGATGAGATAGAGCAGGTGAGTGGTAAATCGATGGGTCGATGGGGAGAGAAACGTGGGCGTGGTGCATGGATGTTGAAAATGGCATGGTGGGTGGGTAAGTGCATGGAGACATAGCAAAGAGGAGACATGGTGGGGAGGGGAAGGGGCAGCATCTCTCACCCCATCAACTCTCTCGCATGGCTGGCTGAACCCAGGTCCCTCAATCTCAGAAGCGCTTTGAGGCCGCTCAAGCACCCCCCTTGCATCACTCGTGTGTCCATCACTCATACACCACTCCCCCCCCCCCACCCTCCCTCCCCCCTTGGCCTCTTCCCCTCTCTGCTGGTCAACTGCCCTGCCACTTACCTCCCTCCTCCCAACCCGCTACACCCACACATGCCCATCAGGTGAGGGTATGGATGGCAGAGGACGGGGTCTCCCTGGCTCCCCGCTTCCCCGCCCTCCTGGATCGCCTGCGGCAATTCGGCCAGTCAAAGCCACCCGTCTCATCCGACGCACACCTGCTCTCCATGCTCTCAACCAATCCGGGTCAGTGCCGTTTCAGTCGACTCGAAAGTCATCCAGCCAATCAGAGCCACCCATCTGTGAGGAGTCTATTTTTGAGGCGCCTAATTAATAGACTCATCCAGTCAGAGCCACCCATCTCATCCGACGGACCTTTCTTTTCCGTGCTCTCAACCAATCTGGGTCAGTACCGTTCTCTTCGTTTTATGTTTCTGGTTTGAGCCCGGGTTTCCACCGCTTCTCCACTGCCCCCTCTGTCATTTCAGTCTTCACCAATGTAAGACCGAGTGCTCCTGATGCCGTATAACTCCAGCACTCCATTCATCCTGTTTTCCTACGCCAGTGCTGCTGCTGCTGCTGCTGCTGCTGCTGCTGCTGCCACACGCCCCCGCCACCTGACATGCCAACCCCCCCTTCCCCCCTTCCTTTTCAGACTACGCGGTGCACAAGCTCGCCTTGGCGCGGCAGTGGGACGACATGCTGCTGCTGCTTCCGCACGCGCTGGCATCGTATTTCCACTCGCAGGGGTGGGAGCGCATTGCCCTCTGGAGCACCACCCTGGCTGCTGCCGGCCAGGCGGGCCGCGCAGATGTGTTCAAAGGGATGGTGGAGGCGGCTGAAGCCACTGGGCTCGCGGATGGTGAGTGGTGGTGAGCGGCACTGAGTGGGTTACCCTCACCTCCTACTCCCTCTGGAGCACCGCCCTTGCTACGGCCGGGCAGGCAATATGCCCGGATGTGCTCAAGGGGATGGTGGAGGTGGCACCGATGAGAGCACTGGGCTGGCACAGGGGGAGTGACTGACGGGTGCTCCATGCGCGCCCGCTGAAGGGTGCTCAACGGGCTCAACTGGCACACGGGGAGTGACTGACGGCAGGCAGCTTGCCCGGTGGCAGTTCATAGTCTTGAATCGATGAATGGGCTCCATGCGAAGCTTGAAGCTCACGAGCACCCGTTGCAATAACTCTTTGCCCACCTATCTGCGTCCTCACTTCCCCTCTCTCCCCCCCTCCCGTCCCCCCCGTACTTCAGCCCCGTTCTCTCTCCCTGACGGCACGCAGCTCACGCGCCGGCAGTTCATAGGGCTGAATTTCTGGAAGGGCTTCTGGATGTAACTCAGTGCCCCTCCTCCCTCCTCTCCCCTCTCCTCCCCCATTTCCCCCAGCCCCGTTCTTTCTGCCTGATGGCACGCAGCTCACGCGCCGGCAGTTCATAGGGCTGAATTTCTGGAAGGGCTTCTGGATGTAACTCAGTGCCCCTCCTCCCTCCTCCCCCCTCTCCTCCCCCATTTCCCCCAGCCCCGTTCTTTCTGCCTGATGGCACGCAGCTCACGCGCCGGCAGTTCATAGGGCTGAATTTCTGGAAGGGCTTTCGGCCGGTGATAGAGCGGCAGGGCCGGCAGTGGGCGCCGCAGGGCGAGTTCGAGCGATCATGGGGGGTGGTGAGGGAGGCCGTGCAGAGCACAGGGCTGCACCCCCACGAGGGGATTTCTTCCATCTTCATCTCGGTGCTGTGTGTCAACGGCCAGGTGAGCGTGGGGGAATGTTTTGTGTGATAGAGTAGCCAGCAGTGGCCTTCTAGCTGGGCTTCACATGGAGACAGTATGATCGCACTTGAGGGAGGGATGGTGCGAGAGGCGGAGAGGGTATCTCGTCTCGCTTCATCTCCGTGCGGTGTGTGACTGGCCAGGTGGGTTCTGCTGTTCGTTCCTCCTCCCTGTGTCTGCTCCCCTCTGCACATCACAGAAATTTTGGGCGTCCTCTGCACATCACAGCCTTTTGAGGCGCCTAAAAAACCTTCTGCAGATCACAGAGCTCTTCTCCACTCTCCTCTTCCCCCTCCTGCCTCTCTTCCTGTCTCTCAGCCCCCCCCCCACCCCCCTTTTCCCCCGTGAGCAGTCCCCCCACAGTGCCATGGATGTGTTAGAGGAGCATATTAAAATGTAGAAGTGAGCTGCTCAAGTTCTACATGCAGAAGGAGTCTATTTTAGAGGCGCCTCAAAAATAGACTCCTCGAGCTGCTCAAGTTCTACATGCATGGAGCAGCTGAAATTGAGCTGTTGCATGCATGGCGGCGTGGATGAGTATACTGGTTCATATCACCCTCACCCTGCGCGCTCTCGGTCCGCTGCTCCCCTTTCTCCATCCCTCCCCCTCCCTTGAGCAGCTGGACAAAGCGATGGACGTGTTGGAGGAGATGCAGCAACTCGGCTTCACCCTCACGCCGCGCATCTTCGACCCGCTGCTGCGCCAGCTCGCACGCTCCAAGCTCTTCAAGGAGGCGCTGGCACTGGCAGACGTGATGCGAAAGATGGGGGCCGGGCTCACCGTGGCGTCTTTCAGCAGCTTGATTGAGGCGTGCCTGGAGGTGGACAATGTAAGTCGCCCTGTGGCTGAATGGGAGCGTGTATCTTGGGTTACTGGCTGGCACATCGCCCGCTGCTGCTCGACCCGCTGCTGTGGTCGTGACTGAGGAGAGGGCCAAGGGCGCAAGCAACCACTGCATCCCTCTCAACCATCTCCCCACCCAGTAGTAGCCCACCCGTGTCTTTTTCCCCCCGTTTTTTCTCACCTGGGCCTCTCCCATCCCATCCCTCCCTACCACCACTGCAGATGCCCATGGCTCTTGAGGTGGTGGCTGAGATGCGGGCCAACGGCGTGCAGCGCAACAGCTACATCTACACTCCCATCATCCACGCCTTCTGCAAGCAGGCACGTGTTGGGCCGGCCGGCTGTATGTAGTACTTCCAGCTTAGCAGTAGTGGCTACATCCCCACACTACACTACACTCTCATCATGCATGCATCTTGCAAGCAGGCTGGTTCTGCGAGCTACCAATCACCTGCTGCTGTCGATTCTCGGCTCTCTGAGTGGCTTGGCCAACCAGCTTTCATGGTCCGTGCAACCTGTGTGTTGTAAAATATATATCTATACAACATGCATGTCTAGATTAGGAGGTGTAGTCATTATATTTATTGGGGGGTTGTTGGTTGAGTTAACCAACCCCGCATTTGGGTTGGTCAAGATTGGATTTGGTCCTAGACATTTGGTTGGCACTATTCCAACCAAATGGTCCTAAGAACCAACCAAGCACCAAGCACCACATTTTGTGGTTGCTTACCTTCCAAGCAACCTCTCCCATTGGTCCACATTGTGACCAATCGGAGAGCACCCCACTTTGTGGTTGCTTGCTCTCCAAGCAACCTCTCCCATTGGTCCACTTTATGGGCAATAGGAGAGCTTCCATTCCAACTCCTCCTTGCTCCTTGTTTGTACAATAAAGCCTCTTGGCTCCCTACTCAATTTATTCCTTGCTCCTCAAAGCCAATTCCTTCACTGTGTGCTTCGCTCTAGTCGTTCCTCCCGCCTCCTCCTCCCTACATCCACCCACTCCTCCCCTCCCTGCCCCCGCCAGGGCAAGCTTCCACGAGCCATCCGCGTGCTACGAGAAATGATGGCTGACAACATTCAGCCAGCTCGTGCACGGGTGCACTGTGACAAGGAACCCACGGGTGCGCCGTGGCCAGGATCCGAGGGCTGGGCATGAGGGTCCCTGCCTGGCACCCATGTCTTCCCCACGTCCTCCCTCGTCTCTCTCCCTCCGCTCCCCCCTTCCTCCCCCTCTCCCCCCGCCATCCCCCCACCACTCCCCCAGCCCAGGGTAAGCTATCGGCAGCAATAAGAGTGCTTCAGGAGATGATGGCTGACGGAATTCATCCCGATGTGGTGGTGTTCACCCAGCTTGGCAGGGGTGCGCAGTTGGAAGGAACCCTCACCCCTCACCCCTCACCCCTCACCCCTCACCCCTCACCCCTCCACCCTCACCCCTCCACGCACACACCACACCTTCCCCTCCCTTTGCCCCAGCCAGGGCAAGCTATCAGCAGCCGTCCGCGTCCTTCGGGAGATGATGGCGGACGGCATCCAGCCCAACGTGGTGGTGTTCACCCAGCTCGTGCACGCCTGCGCCGTGGCCAGTGACCCTCACCCCTCACCACTCCGCCTTACATCAACCCCCTCCTGCCCTCCCTTTCCCCCAGCCAGGGTAAGCTATCGGCAGCCATAAGAGTGCTTCGAGAAATGATGGCTGATGGCATCCAGCCCAACGTGGTGGTGTTCACCCAGCTCGTGCACGGCTGCGCCATGGCGCGCAACAGAGGGCTGGGCTTGCGGGTGCACGAGATGATGGGGCAGCACGGGGTGCCACCCAACGACTACCTGCATGCCGCTATGGTGGAACTGCACCACAAGACAGGCGATGTTAATGGCGCCATGCAGGTACGGTTGGGAGAGGGGAGGATTGCATAGGTCTCGACAGAGGGCCAGGCATGCGTGTACACGAGATGATGGGGCAGCAAAGGGGTGCCGCCCAACGACAACGTGGGCACACTGCCATGGCACACTGCCATGGTTCAATTGCACCACAAGACAGGGGACGTCAATGGCGCCATGCAGGTGCATGTGGGAGGGGCATGTTGTCATGGGGCTGTACGATAGCATGGGTGGGCTCAGTTGGGTGTACCCAGCCCAGCGACTGCTTTTGGGTGCATCCAAGCCCATCCAAATAGACTCCTCAGTTGGGTGCACGGTGCACCCAGCCCAGCGGACTACCTGCATGCTGTCATGGCTGCTCCAACCAGCCTTTCGTGACTCCCCACCTCCCCCCCTTCTCCCGCCAACACCAGTACCTGGCAGCAGCGGAGGCGGCGGGGCACAAGGTGGGCGCCAATGCAGTGAGTGCGCTGGTCGAAGCCCTGGCAGCAGCAGGCCGAACCCAAGCCGCCCTGGACGCATACCAGAAGGGGCGGGAGCAGGGGGTGATGCCTCTGCCGTACGCTGTGGGGACGCTGATCATGGCGCTGGGGCGGGAGGGCAAGGTGGGGGAGATGATGGAGCTGTTTGGGGAGGCGCGGAGGGGGGGGAAGGGGAGGGAAGGGGGGGAAGGGGGGCGGCAGTGGGAGGGTGTGACGTGGCAGCAGGAGATGCGGAGCGGGCATGCGCTGGTGGTGCAGACTCTGGCGTGCCTGGCTCAGATGAACGATGTCGAGTACGTCTCACTCACGCAACACATCTACATTGAGCACACTCTCTTGTCCCTGCTGCAACTAGCCACATTGCCATGCATCCCTCACATGCGACTTTTGAGTCGACTCAAAAGTTCCCCGCAGTAGCCAGATTGCCATGCATCCATCACATGCCCTGGTGGTGCAGACGCTGTCGTGCCTGGCGCAGCTCAAGGAGGGCGAGTCGGTCACATGCCGTCAGAACGCCCTCACATGTCCATCCAAGCCCATCCAAGCCCATCCAAACCCATCCAAACCCATCCAAACCTATCCGAAGCCCATCCAAAACCCATCCAAGCCCATCCAAAGCTTATCCAAAGCCCATCCAAAGCCCATCCAAATCCCATCCAAACCCATCCAAAGCCCATCCCAACCCATCCAAAGCCCACCCAAAGCCCGTCCAAAGCCCATCCAAAGCCCATCCAAGCCCATCCATGCTTGTTCACAGTGACATGCATCCCCATGCCTCTGCCCCCTGCCCCACGTGCAGTCGCATATTGGAGGTGGCAGAGGCGATCAAGGACGACCCACACCTCAACCGGCAGCAGATCTTCGACCAGGTGGGGGCTCCAAGGTGCGCCTGCACGTGGGGTCTCTTACTGGTGCCATTACGGCTGCTCTAGGGGATGTTCTTCCTCCGTTGTGCAACCTTTCTGTGCAACCTTTCTGTGCAACCTTTCTGTCCACCTTTCATCGGCTTCTCGTAAACCCCCGGGACTATCTCCCCCACTCCCTCCTGCCCTCATCCCTCCCTCGTCCCCTGCAGGTGCTGCTGCCGGTGGCCCGCGGTCTACCCGATGGGAATGGTGTGTGCTTGATCGGAGTCAGGGAGACGCTCCGCATGTTCCAAGCCCTGCGCACCGTGAGTGGATCACCATTCCTTCCTCCCCGCAACCGCAAGTGGTGCTTTAAATGCGGATAAGTGGGCATCACGTGCACAGTGAGTGGGCTGTACAATCTCCTTTGTTTCTTTGCTGCATTGTGCAGGGCGTGCATGTAGAGGCGCTGCTGGACTCGTGTGCAGCAGACTCACTACCCTTTTCTCGCTCACTCTTGCTCTTTGAATTGCCCTTTCTATTGTCTTCTCACCCCCCACGCACAGGTGGGAGTGCAGCCGTCGCGCATGGTGCTGGAGGCCCTCCTGGACTCATGTGCAGCCATGGGCGACCTCCCGCGCGCCCAGCACGTGATGGACGACATGCACCGCAACGACCTGCCCCCCACAATCTTCACGCTCTTCCGGTAAGTCTTGGGTCGCAACAGCCTGCCCTCGCAGGTGATTTTTGAGTCGACTCAAAAATCACCTCTTGGGTCACAATAGCCTGACCTCGCCATCTTCATGTTGTTTCGGTGAGCCACGTGCATTGTAGCATCCGACCTCCCCCGTGCCCGGCATGTCATGGACTACAGGCATTTCAACAACCTTCCCCCCCCCGATCATCTTCACTTTTCCGATGAGCTGCGTGCTCTGTTGCTCGTTGACCCCGTGATGTAACATGGCATGGATAACTCGGATTGTAACACATTCACATTCGCAGGTCCCGGCCCGTTCGATCTTGCAGAAACCAAGACCTTCCCTCCCTGCCCCCTACCTGCCCCCCACCTGCCCCCTACCTGCCCCCTACCTGCCCCCTACCTGCCCCCCATCCACACACTCCCTTCCAGCCTGTTCCGAACTGCCATAACAGCGGAGGACGAGAATGCTGCTTGCGATGCCCTGCGCCAGATGTCGCCCTCTGATTTGTTGGACGAGGATGTGCAGCTGCTGGTGCTTAAAGCCCTGGAGCCCTTCATCCGGGCGGCAGCCGATGGCGGGGAGGAGATGGCGCTGGCCAATGAGACGCTGCCACGTGTCAGGGAGGAGGCTTACCTGGCGATACTGAGGGCGAATGCACTCAAGTTGCAGGGAATGCCAGGGGGGGAGGGGAGAGGGATGGGGGGCTGGGTCAGGGGAATGGGGGAGTGGGTGAAGAGATTGCAGAGATTCTGGCGAGTCAGCAGCATCAACAGCTGAAGGAAAATGCTGCTAGGACAGAACACTCCACATGATGATGGTTTTGGGATTCAGTTGTAGGAAAGTGTGAGTAGCATAATGTTTTGATGGCCTAGTTTGCCAACCATTATATCGGCAGTCCGTCACCAGCAGAAGGGAATACCAGTATGTCACCAGCGATGAGGGTGGGTGTGGTGTGGCCAAGTGGTATCACCATGCGAGTGTGATGCCACGCCATAGTCAGCTGAGCCCAGAACAGAAAGAACTACCTGCAGGAAATCCTACGTGCACTACTTGGCAATCTTCTGCCCTGTGTGCAGTGCACCCTAGTTCCAACCTGGAGCTTCAATTCAAACACTGCTGACCGGTGCGTCTCAATGCAGGCAGGCTTGGTGGAAGTCAGGCACTTAGAGACTCCACTCCACATCCTGGTACATGCCTTCTATCCTTCCCCTCCCTTCCCACCAAGCACACCAAGCTCAAACTGTCAACTTATACATATTATCTATGTAGAAGTTATAGGCTAGACTGAGGTATGCTTCTAGTGAGTACAACCAACTAGTAGTTGTTCTAGGTTTCCACCTCTAGTCATTATTCGTTCTCACTTTGACACGGTATCACGCGTAGGTTAGCATCCCCCACCTACCGCTTCCGCCCGTACCCTAGCTAGGCCACGTCGCGCCTCCTAGCCCCGTCGCGCCTCCTAGCCACGTCGCCCCCCCCCCTCCTGGGCCACGTCGCGCCACCCTAGCCCCGTCGCGCCACCCTAGCCCCGTCGCGCCCCTCCTGGGCCCCGTCGCGCCACCCTAGCCCCGTCGCGCCACCCTAGCCCCGTCGCGCCCTGCCTGGCCTCGTCGCGCCCTGCCTGGCTCCGTCGCGCCCTGCCTGGCTCCGTCGCGCCAGCCTGGCCCCGTCACGCCCTGCCTGGCCCCGTCGCGCCCTGCCTGGCCCCGTCGCGCCCTGACTGACCCCGTCGCGCCCGCTCGGCCCCGTCGCGCCCTGCCTGGCTCCGTCGCGCCCGCCTGGCCCCGTCGCGCCCTGCCTAGCCCCGTCGCGCCCTGCCTGGCCCCGTCGGGCCCGCTCGGCCCCGTCGCGCCCTGCCTGGCTCCGTCGCGCCCGCCTGGCCCCGTCGCGCCCTGCCTAGCCCCGTCGCGCCCTGCCTGGCCCCGTCACGCCTGCCTGGCCCCGCCGCGCCTCCCTGGCCCTGCCGCGCCTGCCTGGCCCCGCCGCGCCTGCCTGGCCCCGTCGCGACCTGCCTGGCCCCGTCGCGCCTGCCTGGCCCCGTCGCGCCTGCCTGGCCCCGCCGCACCTGCCTGGCCCTGCCGCGCCTGCCTGGCCCCCGCCGCACCTCCCTGGCCCCGCCGCGCCTCCCTGGCCCCGCCGCGCCTCCCTGGCCCCGCCGCGCCTGCCTGGCCCCGCCGTGCCTTCCTGACCCCGCCAGCACCTGCCTGGTCCCACCGCACCTGCCTGGCCCCTTCGCCCCGGCTGGTCCTGCCGTGCCGCCTCGGGCTCCGTCTCCGCTGCTCGCTCGTGCTGAGGCGCTTCGCGGCCGCCGTGCTGGAGGGGGCTGTCGCTGTGTTCCTGTTGAGCTGTGCCGCTGACCCTGCACGATGGCGGACTTCGTGCTCCGACTGGACGCCGAGGGCCATGCAGTTGACTTCGCCGCCTGGCTCTCCGATCTCCGCCGCCACCTTACAGGTCAGCGCCAGGATGGCCACTCTTTGGTTGTCCATGTCGACGGCTTGCTCCCCCGTCCCCCCGCACCTGCTCCCCTCCCTGCTGATCCCTCCTCTGATGACCGTGAGACCTTCTCTACTGCTGCGCTTGCCCGTGCGGTCTGGGACTCCCGCGATGCAGTCGCTCAGGTTGCCATTAGCCACGCCCTCCCTGTCTCTGAGCGCTCGCGTTTTGCTACTATTGAGACGGCCAAAGCTTACTTAGACGCTGTTATTGCCCGCTATTCCACACCCGCGTCTGCTTTTGCTGGTCGCCTGCTCTTCCCTATGCTTTTCCCAGACCTTGCAGCTTTCCCTACCGTCGCAGACTTTGCCACTCACCTGCGTGCCCTAGAGACCCGCTATCGCACTGCCAGCACTGCCGCCCAGCTCACTGCGCCCCCCCCCCCTTTCTGCATGACGCTCTATTTTATCGCCATGCGCCTGCCAGACCGCCTCGCTAGTGCTCGCGATCACTTTCTTAGCCAGCACCCGCGTGACCTCACTCTCACTGCCTTTGTCGACACCCTCACCGAGATCGAGACTCGCCAGCGCACTATCGCTCAGTCGAGCGGTGCGCCGGCAGTTTCTATCTTTCACGGTTGTGCCCCCTCTCAGTGTGCGTTCACTGACGTTTCGGCTGCGGTCGCCTCGGCGGCCCTCTCACCGAGTCGGCTGGTGCGGTCCACCCGCAGCAGCGCTCGCGCCGCGGTGGCCGTGGTCGCCAGGGGGGTAGGGGTGGTGGTGGCAGTAGTGGTGGTGACGGTAGTCCGCCTGCGGGGACTACCACTGGTGGGCAGGAGCAGCAGCCCCAGCCGCAGCAGGAGCAGCCCCAGCCGCAGCCGCCGCCCCAGCAGCAGTTACCGTCCCAGCAGCAGTCGCCGCAGCAGTGGGCCCGTCTCCCGCCTGGTTGGCCCGGCACCTCCGGAGGTAGTGGCCGTGGTGGCGGCCCGGGCAGCTTGGCGTCTACCGGCGGCTCCGGTGCTGTCACCTGCCAGTACCAGCTTCAGACCGGGCCTCTTCGCGGCACTCTGTGCCGCCGCCCGCACCCGACCGCCCGCTGTTTCCGCCGCCTCGACGATCTCTTTCGTCGTCGCTTTGGCCCGGCCCCGGACCTCCCCGACTGGCACAGCCTGCTCCGCCAGGGCGTGCCGATCTTTGAGTTAGACATGGATCAGCTAGGTGCATCTTTGCATGCTTTGTATTCTGACACTTCTAGTTTTGCTGGATCTTATTACCCTGTGTACTCTAGTTTAGGTGTTGCACCACTGTGTAGCTTAGCCTCCCCTGCTGCGTCAGGCGTAGGACTGCTTAGGTTGCCTAGTCTAGTCGCTACACCGGCTCCGTCCCCGGCCTCCACCACTGCGTCGCTGTCCTTCACTCTCGACTCCGGTGCTTCTGCCTGCTTCTTCCGCGACCGTTCCACGCTCACGCCGCTTGCTGCACCTGCTGTTGTCTCTCTCGCTGACCCCTCTGTAGGTCCGGTCGTCGCGCGCAGTTCTACGTCCCTTCCCTGTCCGGCAGTTCCCTCGGGCTCCCTTACTGGCCTCCACGTTCCCTCGTTCTCCAGGAACCTGGTTGGTGTCGGCTGTCTCCAGGACCTCGGCGTCACCACCACGTTCCCCGGGCACGAGCGGTTCGCTGTCTGTTCTGAGGCTGTCTCAGGTTCCCCCCTTGCGACGTTCCCCCGGGACCCGGTGTCCGGTCTGTTTACCCTAGACACCGCTTCCCCCCCGGTTGGTGCGTCCTCCCAGGTCGCTGCAGCTTGCTCGTGTCGGTCCCTCACTCACCCCTCCCTTCTCTGGCACCACCGCTTAGGTCACCCTGCTCTCCCGCGTCTGCGTCACATGTCCCAGCACGGTCTTGTCTTAGGTCTCCCTGCGTCGCTCCCTGCCCTTCCTCCCTCGTTTGCGCCACCGTGCACGCCTTGCGTCGAGGGTCGGCTTCGCCGTGCTCCTCACTCCTCCTCGCTGCGTCCTGCTACTGCCCCCCTTCAGACCCTGCACTTGGACGTTTGGGGCCCTGCCCCCGTCCCCGGACCGCGCGGTGAGCGCTACTTCCTTGTGCTCGTCGAGGACTACACGCGCTACACCACGGTGTTTCCCCTGGAGCGGAAGGCCGACGTGCCCGACGTTCTTCTCCCGTGGGTTGTGGCTGCGCGTCTCCACCGCGGTCTCCCCGTGTTGTGTCTCCACTCCGACCGTGGCGGCGAGTTCGCCTCTGGTCGGCTTGGACAGTTCTGTCGTGCGGAGGGCATCACCCAGTCGTACACCTTGCCGGACTCGCCACAGCAGAATGGGGTTGCTGAGCGCCGCATCGGCTTGGTCATGGAGGTCGCCCGTACCTCCATGATCCATGCCGATGCCCCCCATTTTCTGTGGCCGTTCGCTGTTCGCTACGCTGCTCACCAGCTTAACCTGTGGCCACGCTCCCAGCGGCCGCAGGTTTCGCCGACCCTCCTTTGGACCGGGTCCCCGGGTGACGCGTCTGCGTTCCACGTCTGGGGCTGCCTTGCTCACGTTCGTGCCTCTGGCACGGACAAGCTCACTGCCCGCACTGTCCCCTGTGTCTTCCTCCGTTTCCCCCTGGACTCGTCTGACTGGCTTTTCTACCACCCGCCGTCTCACCGCTTCCTCCACTCTCGTGACGTCACCTTTGACGAGTCCGTCTCCTTCTACCGCTGCTTCCCTCACCGAGGTCTCCCAGTTGCCCCCCCCCTGTTCCTTGCTCCCTCTCCCCCGGTAGCCCCTGCCCCTCTCCCGCCTCGTCCTGCCCCGTCTGGTGTCTCCCCCGTCACTCCCCTCCCGTCGGTTGTCCCCGTTGAGGAGTCTGCTGACTCTGGTGGTACCCCCAGTCCGTCCTTGCCGCGTCCCCCTTCCCCGGTGCCTCCGCCCCCACTGTCGCAGTCGCCGACCCCGCTGCCGCCACCGTCGCCGTCGCTGCCGCAGCCGTCGCCGCTGTCGCAGCCGCCGCAGCCGTTGCCGCCACTGCCGCCGCCGCTCTTGGCCCCTCGGGGTGCTGGTGTGGAGGAGGGTGTTCGTCCTGCGGCTTCTCGGGGTGCCGCTGGTGTTGGAGGGGGTTCTCGTTCTGGGGGTGTTGGTTCTGGGGGTGCTGCTGTTGAGTGTTCTGCCGACGGTCGTTCTGCCTCTACTGGTCCGAGAGTTCCGGCCCAGCCGTCGTCGCCGCCGCAGCAGCCGTCGCCGCCGGTTTCCGCTCTCCGCCTGCTCGGCCTTCCCTCACCGGACCGCGCGCCGGTGTCTCCCCCACCGCCTGCTGACCTCCCTGTCTACGGTCCTGTGTTCCCGCCGCCGGACTCGTCTCCGGCCCGTCTTCCTCCTCGTTCCCCTCCTGTGTCTCCTCCGCTGTCCCCTAACCCTACCCCTCCGTCTCACGTTTGGGCTCGCCGTCCCCCCCGTGCTCGTCCCGTCTCTTCTGTCCTGCCCACCCACCCTATGTTGCTCCGTTCCCGCTCGTCTCGTCCTCCCCTGCTCCCGTCCCCTCCTCCCTCGTCCCTTGCTGTTGCACCTCCTCCGTTGTCTGACTACCTCCGTGCTCCTCGTCCCCTTGTCC